TGCCCCTCGGGCCGGGCGGGCCCGTGGCCCGGCTCACTTGGCTGCCCCGCAGGCCAGCGCTGCCCCTCGGGCCGGGCGGGCCCGTGGCCCGGCTCACTTGGCTGCCCCGCAGGCCAGCGCTGCCCCTCGGGCCGGGCAGGCCGGTGGCCTGGCTCACTTGGCTGCCCCGCAGGCCAGCGCTGCCCCTCGGGCCGGGCAGGCCGGTGGCCCGGCTCACTTGGCTGCCCCGCAGGCCAGCGCTGCCCCTCGGGCCGGGTTCGCAGCTGCCTCGGTGCCCGCGGGGCCTGTTTTTTTGGGAATGGCTGCAGTGCCCTTAACCGTAACGGCCTAGAGCTGATCCCAGCGTGCCAGGGGGCAATGTTCGCCCTATGCTTTACTTTCCCTGGCGCAGGGAATCTAGCTTTAGTTCTGGAAGTGAGCCCTGATTCCCCTCCGTGTCGTTCTTAGGGCCATGTGGAGCAAGGCGCCGCTGCGCTCGCTGTGCAAGCTCTCGCCCGGCTCCCCGGCCTTGCAGCTTTCGCCGCGCGACGCGTTCGGCACGAAGAGCGGGGACCAGGGYGCGGTGTCGCCGGCCGCGCAGCGCAGGCCCCGCGCCAAAACCTACCCCGTTCTGGACGGCCGCATCCCACCCGTGTGCCAACACGTGTTTCAGGAAAACTTACGGAACAGCGAGGCTGTTATTCAGAGGTAAAAATGCCTTTTGCATTTTTTTTAATATATCTTAGTCATTATTACTTCTAGACRCCTTAAATATTCCTTGGCTTAGGAAGATCAGTCTTTAAAAAAAATCCAGAGGTTAAAAAATATTGGGGGTAATTTTTTTTCCAAMTACTCTGAAGCTTAAAATAGCAGCTCCCTCCTGCTGTCTGCCTGGACATCCTCTCTGCAGAGGACAYTTCACAAGGGTCAGCACTTGAAAAATTCAAATCTGCCAAAACAGGTGCATAATTGTTGGTCAAAATGCCTGCACTTGGGGGCTGCCTGCATATAAAATACTGCCATATGACATTGTTTTGCATATATTGCGAAGAAGTATATTTTTAGACCTTCATAAAAATTGCCTTATGTCTAATTTTGAATGTAAAGATGTAAATGGTGACTCACACATACCCAGATCTCTCCTGAAAAAGTAGGTGGCGGTTATTGCAATTTGTCGTGATTCGCAGGCAAGAGCAGGAAAATGTTTTTTATGTATCTGTCCTTATGGAGCAGATGGCAAATACTCAAAGGCCTTTGTGCAGAAGAGAGCTCCATGAGCTGGAAGCAAAGCTACGGAGAACACACTGTGCCCTCCTGTGGTGGCATTTACAGCATTATTAAAAATCCATAGCTTTTTCTCCTGAGCTTTTTCAACCTCTGTAGTCTGCAGGAAGCCACAATGCAGCTAATGGAATTACGTGCAGAGTAGTTGGTAAATTATTATGTCAATTTTAGATAAAGATGATACATCTGGGTGAAAAATAAATGAGCATCCTGGTTCGTTAAAAACATTTTTTTTTTTCCGAGGATTGCATTTGTTTACAGTTTATTCAGTTTATTATTATTTTCCCTTTATTCTGCCTAGCCGATTATATCCGGCAGTGAGCTTTTCTTTGGGTGATTATACTGACCCTGCACTGTGCACTACATTTAGTGCTGCTGTGATGCAGGACATTCTTTAGGCCTGTCAGATAAACTGTTCAGTGCTTGCTGAGGGAGAGCCAACCATTGATTGGATCCTTCCCGAGAGCGGTTGGAACTTAGAGGTAAGTGTTCCACTGAATTAGGAGTCACAAATCACAACAGCCTTATTAATATTTGCCCCACAGTGACAGCTCCAACCCATAAATCTGCAGTATCCCTCAAAGTCAGGTCCTCAGCTTTGTTTGTCAGCCTGTTCTCAGTACTCCACTGATTGGGTTGTCAACAGAGATTAAAAATGATCGTATATTGTAAAATACTGTGTGTTGGGTTTTTACCGGAAACACCCAGGCAGGATGATTGAATAGGGTGCATATATTATTTCACACTCTTTGCCTTTGTTAGGCTCAGAAATGTAACTTGTGAATAATGAAAAATAAAATATTTGCTTTAAGTAAGTAATGTGCCTGTGCATTTTGTTCCATTTTGTGAGGAAGAAAACTGCCTCTGAATGCTGTAATCTGTTACACAGTAGTTAACTGCAGTTACAAATTCCTTTTGGAAACAGTAATCCAAAAGTGTGGTTTCCTCTTTGTTGTTGTACTGCTGATGTGTAAGTTGTGCAGTGCATTTAAGTACTGTGTGACATTGTTAAAAGCTAGTTGTAAGTAAAGCTTATCTTCATTAGCTGAAGCTTTGCTTTTAAAACAGATATTCAGAACTGCTGGAGATGGTCAGTAAAGGAGGAGGGGGAAATGCCATCCTGCGCCATACCCAGCRAAACAAGAAGGTGTTTGTTCGCGAACGCCTGAAGATGCTGCTTGATGATGAGTCTTTTCTTGAGCTGTCTCCGCTTGCGGGCCTCAATATGCCATATGGTGATGTCCCGGCTGCTGGATGCCTCACTGGTAAATGCTAGCAAATTTAATATTAGCTGCAGTGGGAAATTCATGAAGTTCATTTAATTGCTTGTCAGTTGTTAAGTAAGATTCATGTTAGAGCTGAAGACAGATGTGGGTTGTTTTGAAGGGATTGTTCACCCRGGTTGGAGGTGCACGCTGGAAGAAAGGGTTTGAGCTGATACAGTCCATAAGGAAATGGGAGGGGAGCTGTGTGGATGCAGTGGGTATCCTTGGAGGACCAGCTGAAGTGTCCAGTTGCTCTTAGTTACTCTTAGGGGTGTCAGAAAAGCCGTTCTTGCCCGTTCTGCTGCGAGGTGCCCTGTGCTCTGACAGCAGGTGCTAGCGGGCAGTGCCCGTGAGCCGCAGCCCCTGCGCTGCAGACCTTCGTAACCGCCCCTGCTCGCCRCAGTTAAGGCGACTGGCCAGATGCACTACCAGGTTTATGTAATATTTTAGTATCACGATGATGTGTGTCCTAGGAAAARTGAACATCAGTTCTTTCCAATAGTAATTACCAGAATGAAACAGTTCAGCCATTCCATAATCTGTTTTAAGGAATCGAGGCAAAAGTTTCAAAGAAGGAAAGTTTTCTTTTTTACTGAATTTAGGTATTCATTCAGCTTACCAGTTACCAGTCTGTGTTTCAACAAATGCAGAATGAGATGTCAAATATACCAATAACTGTTGAATGGAAGAGGAGACCAGGTTTCTGTGTGACGCAAAATCAAAGGCATTTGTTTTGAAACAGTTTTCAAATTATAGACCAATCTCTTACATCATTTCATTTTGAAGAAAACTTTCAGTTTAGAAAAGCACCTGGAAGAATAGGATGGTGTAGTCCTGTGTTTCTTTTGTCACAGATTGCTACATCTTTCAGTTTTATATCAGTGTTTTTATAGCCATCCCTGTAAATTTGTCTCAAGAGTGAGAAATTGGATTATCTTACTCTTTTTCTTATGTGTTGTCACCAATAGTAAAGAAGTAGTATATCAGCTTCTATTTTACTGGCATGCTATTACTAAAAGAACATTCTAGCTGCAGCCTGGCCCCCATGTTTTACTAGAGAGTCCTGATAAATGACCATGGTTCTGTTTATAGGAATTGGAAAAATCTGTGGAGTCTGGTGTGTCTTCATGGCAAATGATGCAACTGTGAAAGGAGGAACTATTTATCCGATTGGAGTGAAGAAACAACTGAGAGCTCAGGAAATAGCCATGCAGAACAGACTTCTGTCTGTGTACCTAGTTGACAGCGGGGGAGCATTCCTGCCACTGCAGGTAATATTGCAACAAATTCACAGAGGGAAGTGTTCATCTTAATCATGTTCATCTCTAGAAATAGGTCTGCAATATATTTTGTTATCTTGGCTAGATGACACTCATGGCCTCTTAAATCAAGCTTTGCTCACAAAGAGGTGCCTGGGAGATGATTTGAACATATGTAACAGTGGCATTCATCCTGGCTAGCCTTGCATCTAGCTTCTGGTCAAAGTTCAGAACTGCCAGTATCGGTGTGGGGACAAAGGGCTGAGCAAGCAAGTCATACACATTCCTCAGTGCGCTGACAGGCTTTGGCCTCTTTAATAACTCAAAACTTTGTTTGGAGTTTCTATTTTTGACTTCAGAATATTTAAAATTGCTTTATATTTTGTTGTAAAGTCTATAATGCATAAACCTCCATGGCCTTTAAAAGGAAATTTTAAAATATTACTCTAACCACAGAGCTTACGCAGGTTACTCCACGATGTACAAAGGTCRTGTCATTGCAGTGACTAGAGTCGTTGCATGTCCAGGCTGAAGGAACTCACGCAGGAAGAGTTCTTGCCTGAATATGGAATTTTAGAAAACTAAATAAAAAGGAAAACTCAATTGAAGTCATTTCACAGGCACAGAATGAGCATGAGCTTCCCACCCCATGTTTACAGTTTTTGCCTATGTAGAATAAATTGGCTTCACAAAACTGTGGAAGTTATTTCTGCTTTTGTCGTGCAGATGGATGTGGATATTTCGGTGGAATTGAGCAGTTTTTGAGAGGAATAAATATAGTAGAGAATGTATGTGAAAAGTTACCGTCTGTGATTGTTGGATCCTTCTCAGGATCCTTCTCTGTGGCGCTGGCTTGTGACTGAATGAAGCAAAGACGAAGCTCTGGCGACCGTAGCTAATCTCCAAACTCACCTTGTCTCTTCTGTGTCATGGCAGTCCGAAATGTTTCCTGACAAGTTCCACGGTGGCCGACTTTTCTACAATGAAGCAATAATGTCTGCCATGAAAATCCCTCAGGTACAGTGTCACTTTGCATGCATATAAGTGTAGTGTACGTGATTAATGGAGTCCTGGAAACGTTTCCTTTTAATACAGATTCTAGGACCAACTCACAAACAGGCAAAAAAATCTCTTAGCGCTCCCCCTTTCTGTTTGTGTGTGAAGAGAGGTTCAGATGGTACCTTGCATAATAGAATGATCATGCTTCAGCCTTAAGGATCCCCTATGTGCTTGCCAACTGACGTTAATGAAAAGAACATGGAATCACTAGGTGATTTTTGACTAAACTTCACTCTGCTCTGTGTGATATCCAGCGGTGGTGTGTGTGACTGTACGTATACCTTTAGTCTCCAGTTATCCAAGGCTTTTAATGTTTCTGAAATACATGTAATGACTTCGTTTTTCCCTTCTCCTCTCACCAGTGTCATGCTTGGTCTTGTTTTCTGTGTCCTTTAGGTGGCCGTAGTATGTGGCTCCTGTGTAGCTGGGGGTGCCTACGTGCCCACCATGGCAGAAGAATCCGTGATTATAGATAAAATTGGTACCCTGTTCCTGGCTGGCCCGCCTCTGGTGAAAGCTGCTACAGGAGAAGATGTCTCTCCTGAGGACCTAGGAGGAGCCAAACTTCATTCTGAGTAGGTGAAATGATTCTGTAAAGTGAAACTCAGCCCACCATCTCTAAAGAGACTGTCATTGTATCATAAATTAATTTAACTGAAGCTGGTTTTGATGCCTCCGCTAGTAGGACACAATATGCACCCAAAAGACTGGGAAGCATATTGTGAAGAAGTGGTAGAAATGATGCATGAATTCTTATAGAGGTTGGTGACATCCAGTTAGGTGTGTGGGAGAATCATGAGGTTAGATAAAAGCCTTCCAAATGAGCACAATAACCCAGGATCCTAATTTCTGCTTTACTGCTGTTCAAACCAGCTTTCCACTTCTGTTTTGGAAAAAAGAGTTCTCGGTTGTTACACACTTAACTGATAGAAATCTCAGATAAATCTAGAGGACAAGACCAGGGCCAAAAGTAGAACGTGTCATTACACTATCTTCTCAGTTCCTTCTCAGTTACTGTTTTTGTTCTATCAGCCAACTGGAAGAAAAATCAAGTGATATTAGAGCTTTGAGCTGGACTAGGTGAATCTGGATTTGGTCCCCCATTCCTTCACATACTTACTGAACAACTTCAGGCAAATCAATTATTCTGCCTCAGAAGGGTCAGTTGCAGAGGAGGAATGATAGGATGTCTTTTTCAGTGGAGGAAAGGTGGTCAGAACACAAATATTAAAAAGTTGAGTATTTGGATACTAATGATAATGAGAAACCTAAAAGAAATTCTCTTTCCTCTGAATCTGGTGCTTGAAGAGATAGCATGACATTTTTCTTTAATGTGCCTCTTCAGACATTAGAGAACTCTTTGCAAAAGCTCTAAAACTTGTAAAAGCTCCTGAAGCAAAAAATTAAGAAAGGAAAACCTATCTGCCTCTGCTGTTACTGAGGGCTTTGTAGCAGAAGACAGGCAAACAGGAGAGGAACCTGATAATAGTAGCTATCTAACCATTTCTTGAATGTTGTTTTTGTATGTTTTCTGTATTCAGTTTTCATTCATTTAATACTAATTAATGTTGCATTCCCTTCTAGAGTTAGTGGCTGTTGTGACCATTTTGCATCTTCAGAGGAGGAAGCCTATGAATGCATTCGAAATGTTATCTCAACATTAAATTATGAGCCCCTGCCAGAGGAGGTCAGAGAGTACGATAGTCCTCTGTATAGTTCTGAGGAGCTCTTGGGGCTGGCGCCACGAAGTTACAACTCTACTCTTCCTGTSAAACTGGTAAGTTGGCAGATACTGTGTTCCTTCGTTCTTCCTGTCTGCTTTATCCAGTGTTTACGTTTAAAAAAAGCACGAGCAGTATGAGGCTGTGAAGTTTTTGTGCACACAAACTATAACTGCACATGCTGGTTTATTTGTTTTCTTTTCTAAGGTTTTTGTGCCCGTRGACATCTGTGCTCTGTGACTTCAAAATAATTTTGGAGTCAAAGATTGGCTCAAAATACTTCAGCAGCAGTCAAACATAAACACAGATTTGTTTTGTATGCTTTTTTTTTTTACTCTTATTTTTTACGTAGAGTAAGACATAAAATGACCACTAGGACTATTTAGTCTGGCTTTTTGCCTAATGCAGGTCTCCCTAGCAGAACTATCCTCTTTTCATTTCGGTTTCTTTAGGGAAAAATATATGTTTCTTTGCAGATTCTGAGCCGTCTGATGGATGGAAGCAGATTCCAGGAATTCAAGGCTGGTTATGGAACAACATTAGTTACTGGGTTTGGCCATGTGGAAGGGTAAGGTTATAAGATATCATTATAATAATATACTGACATATTTGTCTAGAAAGCTTTCATATCATTACTAGGTTTTASAGTATTCCAATTCTAAATTCTAAGTGGGAATCTAAAGTGGAATTCTAAATGGGTCAAGATAGGTAGTAAAATACTTTAAAATACCAGAAAGCCTTACTTCTTCATCTAGGAGCTCTGAATTCGTCTTTTCTCAGGCTAGCAGTGTCAGAGAATGGTTTCAGATAGATGATTTTCTTGACTTTGTGAAATTATTTTTTTTGTTTACTGAAGTCCCTACCTGAGCAGCTGAAATGCAGAAGATTCAGTAGATTCCCTAAGAAATAAGAAGCTACATCTTTAAAAGGGTCTGTCTCAGCCTGAGCTGAAAGCTGCGTTCTTCCCATTATCCTGTCTCCCATCCGATCACATTACCTGACATAACCATCTATATTGTTAACACATTCATAGAGCATGTAACATTGCAGTCAAATCTTACAAAAGCAGTGGTAAAATATATTATTTCCTTTCAGCCTCTTTCTAAGTCAAAAATATCAACATTGCAATGTAAATGTTATATTGTATGTCACAGTAATGAGAGTGCAGGATGCTGGTACCTTGTGCATTGTCCTGCAGTGTAAACTGCAGCAGGTCACCTGTACCCTTGCCTGCCCTCAGAGTGTCAGTCCACACCAATACTCCCATGCTTTGTATCTGGGAGATATCTGCATCTGGGAGAGCTGTCACACTTCTTGTTCGTTATGTACATGAGCTTCCTTAAGTGCAATGACACATTTAAGGGCATCCTTTTCTATTTTAAATTTCTTTAGCAGGACAGGTTTGTGTGTATGACTATTTACGTTCCCATTCTTTAGATCATAAGGAGCTACATTTTCCTAATTTCTGGGGCTTGGATGCGGGAGCACTCACACGTGTGTCTTGCAGGCACTTGGTGGGGATAGTGGCTAGCAACGGGGAGCTGTCTCATGATGCTTCTCTCAAGGGTGGCCATTTCGTGCAGCTGTGCAGTCAGCGGGGGGTTCCCATCCTCTTTTTGCAAAACACTGCCCCACATGCAGCAGAGCCAACAAGCATTTCGCAGGTATGGCGTCTCTGGTTCAGTATACTTAAATCAAGCAATTCCTAGCTCTTGTTTTCACTAAGTTTTTACTTTGAAAGTAGCTAATTGTTAGGAAAATTGTTTTTCTTCATCTGCTCTTACTGGTTAAACCAAACAGCTTCATAGTTGCTTTATTCTTAGATCTTCCCTTTAGCATTCTCACTTTATTCCACTTTTAATCTTTTCTGTAGGCTCACCTGAAATGATAGTGCTCAGCTTGCAATATGAGCATGTGAAAACTTGGAGTTCTTAGAGCTTTTTGCATTGAAATAGAGCCTCTCGGTTCTTACGCCATTCTGTGCCGCAGAAAATAGATGGTTCCGTTTTCTGAAAATGAAGGCCCTGTGGTGCAGTCTGCTTGGTCCTGCAGGGGCTCCAGCGGGTTGCAGTAAGGCCAAGTTCTCTGAGCCGGGACTGAGCCCGCAGCCCTGCTCTCCCCAGGCATTSGCAGCTTTAAAGACGAAGCCTGGTGTCTGTCTCTGTATCAGAGCTTYGCTAATGTGCAGGAGAGCTCCAGCTGCTCCATCTCGTAGGCTTAACACAGGAGAGGGCTGCCGGGACATGCACRCTGCTTGTAATCGTTCTGTTGATTTACATTGCAAAATAAATAACATAATGGGTTGTGGAAGTTAATGCTGCTATCTTCCTCTTTTGGGAGAAATAATTATATAGAGTTGTAGAAAATAAATGCTAAAGACACTTTGCATGTTTGGTAGAAGAAGGCATCTAGAAGGAAGAAGAACTAAAATGTTTATTTCAATTTCAGGCAGAAGCTCACAGCAACAAATTAAAAGCTCAGGCCTCCATGATGTCTGCTGTGGCTTGTGCAGCTGTGCCCAAGATAACCATTGTGATTGGTGGATGTTATGGGAGCGAGAGTTATGTTATGGTATGGGAGCATAAAGGTTAATGTGTTTGGTAATTGACTTTTTACACTTTACYGAGTAAAAATACATCAGAAGCTATGATTACAAAAAGGTAGGTCCCCACCTAGGAGCCTAGAGCTGGTTCTAAAAGCCATGTTATTTGAGATTGTTTGTACCAGGAATCCAGTCTTGCCTTTTTCTCAGCATTTATTACTTGTCCACAGTGCTCAGAGACCAGGTTGTCTGTGTTATAGCAATGTGACCAGGGCATGTGAGAGGGCTGCTGGTTTGCTGAGAAGTAAACAGGTGAATGCTTGAAGGACAAGAGAAATAATCACATGCTGATATTGAAGGCAATGGTGATTGCAGTGTTTACTACTGCAGGGGTCTGTATTGATACAGATTCTGTACCTGTAATGACAAATGAGCTTTAGCATTATTCCTTTATGTCTTACGCTGGATTACATCGTGTTTTGAATGTGAACGTGTCAACCTATGGTACATCCTATAGTCCTTCTTGTGACTAAATTTAGTGACTTTGTCCTGTGCATTTTTTTTCGTAGTGTGGGAGATCGTTTAGTCCAAACTTCTTGTTCTTGTGGCCTAACGCAAGAGTGGCTCTTGTGGATTCAAGACACTTCTTCACAATCCCAAAATCTGAAGAAAATGACTRTAAAACAGATGAGTTGGAACTAAACCACCTAAAAAAAAAGTAAGGACGTTGAGTAATAAATCCCTGAAGTAACAYGGAGATTAACTGTTTTACAGTGCCTACTTTAGTTCATATTTTAGACTGTAAACAGCTAAAGCAAACCTGAATCTACTGAAAATATTTTTAAAATGCCATATATTATCTGCCCCTGTGAGGTTCTTCTCAGGAAGTCTGAATGTTGCTTACTTAAACAAACAAAAGAATGAATCACATAACCTAAAATGAAACTATTATGCTGTGCATATAAAACATCTGCTGTGTTGCTGAAAGACTGAAATGCTCAGGGATCAGRTCTGATCTGCTGTTGCTGTACCCCAAACTAATTTTCCTAGTGGTGCCATGCATACATTTGAAATTGAAATTCATCCCTGATTTTGTTCTACTGGCCTGATCTCTTTTTGTTAGATTTGTACCTTTAAACTTATTTAAAACCCTCTTCTGCAGGCTAGAGGAAGAAAGCAGTGCATTTTACTCTTCTGCCAGGCTCTGGGATGATGGTGTAATTCTACCTCAAAATACTAGAAAGGTAGGTCTTTRTGTTTTTTTATAGTACATTTTATCCTGCATTCTCCAAAAGATCTTGCAGTGAGTGTGTAAGCCTGTGGCTTGCTCAGGGTCAGCCGGCATGCTGATTCCCAGAACAAGGTCCCCCCGTTCTCACTCCATTTCCTTGGCACCTAGCTTTTCAATTCTCATCTCTCCTCTTTTGCATTAAGTTGTCCAAAAAGTTCACTTGAATTTCTTTTTCATTCTGGTTACTTCATTATAGCATTTCCTCTTAAACTCCTTAACTGACTTTCCAGTTTGTTTCTGTATCCCAGTCCTTAATTTCCATCTTGCATAATTACCTCTATCTCTGCTCTTTTAAATTCAGGCTCTTCACTACTTCCATTATTCCCATTCTTTTCTTATGTTTCTTTTTGAACTTCCCCCTGCTTTCAATTTGTTCTTACCCTTGGAGTGCTCCCCTATTTAGTTGGCAGGCAGCTTCTTCACTGGGCCTTTTCCATAATCGCCACCTTTGTTCTTCTGCCTTGTCTTGCTCTGTTATTTATTAGCAATACTTAAAATGTTCTTTGCGCTTGTGAAGCTTGTTTATTTAAAAATCACAAATGCACGCTGCTTTCAGCTAATGCTAAACATGTACCTAAATGCAGTACATAAGTACCAGTTAAATATTTTAGTAGAGCTTATGGGAATTCTGCTAATGGGAGAAGATTGAGAAGCATTTTCAAGTTTTAGGAGTTCACAGAATCTCYTTTTCACCAGCCCACACAGTTCACATTTGCATTTTTAACTCTTTAACACTGAAGACTGTGCTGTGTAGTCYCAGTCTTCACCATTGCCACATGGGAGTGAGAAAGGTGTCTGTCTTCTCAGAACGAGTCTCACAAAGGGAAGAGCAGCCTGTTTGGATAATCTTTCATATGTTACAGGAGATCATAGGTGCATAACTATGTAGCTGTGAAACAGGATTATCCTATTTTATATTTTGATTGAAAGTTYAGGGTAAAATATCTCTCTGTGCCAAAAATAATTCTGCTGTCATCACAGTGGCTTTAAAATAGTTTAGCTTCCTGACGTGATGGCTGCTGGGTGCCATTCCTGGATTGTGGCAGCCTGWGGACATTTCTGCCTTGGTGTCTCCCCTTCGCCAGGGTTACATGGCACTGATGGCCATTTCCCCTAACTGTACAGCTGGCAACTGTTTATTTCAAATATTCATTGTTTTGCAGAAAGTAAGAACAAAACCATTCCTGAATGAGCGCATGCATTAGTAAATTTTATTGCTCATTGTTTATACTCCTTTTCCTGTGTTTTAATCAGGTGGTTGCCCAGTGCCTGGACATTATAGAACAGCAGAGGTACCAGGTCGTACCTCCATCTCAGTATCCTGTCCTCAGAATGTAATTGCAGGCTGCTGTTTTCAAATAATGGGCCTTCAAAGAATACTAATACCACAGTGCTCACTTTAAATGTAAGTGACTTTCTAATTATTTTATACCATTAATAAAACAGTTAAACCAGGAACAGGCAAAGAAGAATCCTGGATTTAGCGCAAACAGACTTGAAGTTTGTATTTTGAATCATGGCTTGTTTCTATATGAGTTGAAGTTCTTATTTTGTGGAAAAAAAAAGTTTAACCTGTGGTTCTGTAGTGTTCTGATGAAGCAATCTCATCCTGAGCCATAATGAGTGCTTGATTATTTTTATTCATGCTTTRTTATGAAATGCAGAACTAAAGAAAGTGTACTTTGAGAAAAGAAATGGGAAAGAGAAAACACAGAAGCTGTTGAAGGTCTCTCTAGGCAGCAGGAGGTTTCAGGAACGCAAATGCTGGCAGCGAGGTAATGCTGCCTGCCCCCCTTTCACCTGGTGCCTGGCTGACAAGCGCAGGTTTGCAGAACGGCTGGGGAAAGGCAGTGAACATGACGGGTGATTTTATGGTGGCTCCGCTCTGATTGCCCTGAGAACCCTCCCACGGTGACCAGGAGCTGGTTTAAATCCATGGCACTTCAACATAGGATAAAATTACCTCTTCGTGCAGCAAGGAACAGAAGGAGCCCAGAGCCTGTTCTGTGTCAGGTTACCATGCTGACAAGCACAGAGTTTACGCTGTGCCCTTCGTGCATCTTGCTGCAAAGTTTAATCTTGTCAAATAAAACTTTTGCGTTATTTTAAATGAATAATTCTTAGTACATCAAAGGGTAAATATGAAAAACATCTGGGTAAGTATTTTAGAGAATCATCAAGGAAATTGAAATAATTATGCAAATAAATACTGAAAGAATTAGGTGCCTCCACCTTTCAGAGTTAGAAGACGGGCTTTGCAGTCACGCTCTTTTGAAGAGTCCATGGAAAGTCACAGGAATGTTTATCTCCACTTCGGCCCTGGCAACTTCGCTCATGTCTTTGGCGTTGAGGATCAGCAGGTAGGCAGGCTTCGGCCCCACGCCAGGGCTGATCACTATGCTCAGCACCACCCCTAGGCAGCAAGAGAGGAGAGTTCTGTCCGTGTCCTTCCTTGTCCTTCACTTGGACTGCCCATGATTTAAGTAACTGCCTGCACACAGGGCCCTAATAAATCTCAGTTATTTCCCCCCGTCGTAGCGTTTGACTTCTTGCTCATACTCTGTGCCAGCCTGGGGTGCTGGGCAGCACAGCTCAGCTCAGAGAAGCATGAAGTAGGGATGTGGTCTGAAAAGTGGCTCTGAAAAGCTATTGCAGGGGCCTCTGACAGATGGCACTTAGCGGAGTTTATATCGAAATTGTCCACGTGAAGAGTTGATAAGAAGGAGTGATTCTGCCTCCTGGGCACCAGGGTGCCTGTTTCTGGAGCCTGCCTCCTCATAGGGAAGAGAGGGAACTCTCTAGCTTAGGATTTCTGCTCCATTGTGTGCTCTTTGCAGGAGCAAAGTCATTGCAGGAAAACGTAAGGCAGGAACTCTCTCCTGTGACTCCRTTAGCCCCCTTTACTCATCTGTTTTCTGCCTCAGGCACGAGCTAGAACTGCTGCTACTGACCTAAGCCAGAGCCAAGAGCTGAGTAACCACAGAAAATAATCCATACGGCATCCCAGCCTTGGGAAGAGCACAGCATCGGGAGCATGGAACCTCGTGGTAACTTAGATTCAGGAAAGTGCTTGGGCAGGGGCTTAAGTCCTCTCTAGTGAAAACGATAAAAAGGACTTTAGCCTATTCTTAAAATGCTTGTTCTCTATCTWCATTAAAGTAAAGTTTCTAGGAACATACTGAAATCTTTTCAGTTTTAATGGGATTTAAGCCCCTGCATGAGCACTTTCTTCAGCTGGGGACAGAGAGTGCATCAAATTCGGGCTCCATATCCACCTGCAAGTTTGCTCTTGGCTTCAKCTGACCCAGGATTTCTCCCAACATCAAACAACCCTGCTCAGAAATGGGAAACTGAGGGAATAAGTGGATCCCCTTTCAGTCCAAGTGCTGCTGCTCCCCTTCCAAAATAGGAACTGAGCTGAGGCTGCCGGAAGGAATGTGTGCAGTGCCTGGCATGCACCCACTGTGTGTCCTCGAGTGACAAAGACTAAAGTCACCCCCTACGAAGAGGGGTAAAAGAACAGAAACATGCTTGGCTTAAGAGGGATTTAATTTTTAAAAGTTCTGCCATGTGGATTTCTTTAAATACTGTGTTGGCTAGTGAAAATGCTGGAAGACGAGGACAACTGACCATCTCAAYCTAGGAGTGCTTCTCCTCCTATATTTTCGTTTAGTTTTAGTTAATTTTTCTATGTTTTTCTCAGAATTTTCCCTGCAGTTTCACAATAAGGATGCATCCAATCTGGGAGCTATCTGGAAGTTCTCGGGCACATAATACTACTATGGGTAGTGCCTGCCTGGCTAAGCTCAAGGCTGCACATTCTGGGCCAGGAGTCCCAAACTGGTTGAATACTCAGTAATTAACAGACCAAACTAAAACCAGTTATTACCATCATCTTCCTCGAGTGCATCAGGATGTGAAACAAAGATTGGTTCTGACGGGTACGAGTCTGGTTCCTGCCATACCCAGGTCTCCTTTGTTTTAACATTTAGTTTACAGAGCTACAAAACAGGTAGAAAACAAATCTCAGTAAATATCCTTCGTTGTTCTGAAGCTGAATGTTTTCAAGGTGAATAGTTACCCTGTCTGGAACAAAGTGGTTCAGGCCAAGGCCATATGAGTAGGTATAGGGTTTCCCACCATATTTCTTGTAGTTGATTTGTGGAAATTCAAAGGCTGCAGAGAAAATAGGTACAGGCAGCAGCAGGATTAGCATCTTGCAGGAGCTGCTGCGGTGCCTGTGGCCGCGATCCCTGTGGGCACTGACCGTGGCGCGGCCCCGAGAAGAGGACTTCGGGCTCCAGCCAGATGGTCTCGTCGCTGTGCAGGGTGGCGGTCGCTGTCGTGTAGGGCAAGGTGACCAGGTTCTTGCCCGTGTCGGCCTGCACAAACAGCCAACAGAGAGCCGTGGTTGTCTCCCTGTTCGGCAGCACTAGCAGTGAAGCTCCCAAGGTGCTGCAAAGCCTCACGAAGCGCAGCAYTGAGTGCCTGGGAGAAATGGCCTCTTCCCTTTTCCTCGTTGGCTTTCAGGGGCAGGAGCTGGAATGGGAAGGGGTGTGCGGCRCGGTGCAAGCACCCTGTGCTGCAGCCTTTGCTGTGCTTAGCTCTGGTTGAGTCCTAGCGGGACCCGYGCCGCGTTCCTTACCCAGTGCCGTGGAGGTTGCCCAAGCGCTGGTGGTGTGTGGGGTGGTGCGTTCTGCTCCCTCAGCACGAGGCCCCACAAGCTTTGCTGCCCCAAAACCAGCTCGGCCGAGCAGCAGCTTCATCCCCTGCCCTCCGCCCGCGGGAACCCAGAGCAGGGGGTCCCGACACGGCCAGGCGGTCCCAAGGGCAGCAGCGCGTGGTGCCGCGCCGTTACCTTGTCGATGTTCAGGGGGAGCACGTATCTGCGCGCCTCGGGCTGGGGGGCCTTCTCCGCCTGCCTCTTCACTTCGTCCCAGTTCGCGCGTAGGTTCGCCAAGTAGAGGTAGTTGTAAACAAACTCAAACCTGCACAAAACAGGAGCAGGGACCCAATGAAAATGGCATTTGCAAGTGAGGCTTCGAACGCAGGTCTTCTTTCCTAAGATGCCCCGAATGCCGCGGGCCGTTGGGCAGAGGGAGCTGGCCGAGCCCAGGGCCGGCGCGCGGGTGCCGGCAGGGCGGGCCGAGCGCGGCGCGGCTGCAGCGCTGCAGGCGACGCTGCGGGGCTGCCGTCCCCGTCCCCGCACCGCGGGACGAGGTGCAGCTCCGCGCGCCGGCCCCACGCTCGGGCCAGGGCCGCTCCGCAGACACTCACCCTTTCCAGGTGCAGAGATCCACAATGAGGAACCCGTTGTCTTCATAGGTGTTAATGTGGTGGAAAAGGTTGAAGGCAGAAGTCCGGTATTTGATGTTGAGGAGCCTGCCTTTCTTCTTCTCTGCCACGTGAATCCAGACCTGCAAAGCAAGCAGCGCTTTGCTTTAGGTTACATCTGTTGGAGGCGAAATGAGCGGCCCAGGCTGCCCGCTCCGGGGCGGCCGCGTTTGCCCGAGCCTCGCAGCTCACCCCCATAGTCTCGTTGGACTCGAAGCAGTCCATGTAGTTGGCTCCCCACAGGCTCCAGGAGGAAAGGAACTTGAGGAGGTTGATTTTCACTGGCGTTTCAACAAACACGATGTAGTTTGGGGTCAGTCCAAAGCTGTTAAATAATGCATGACTGTGGTTGGTCTGGGCAAAACACACACTCATGCACCAACATGGTAGCTTATTTTAAGCACCAGATGCAGAATACAGCCTAAGGTAACTGCAATATAAACGTGCTGATTTTCTTCACTTCTTCAACTGTGGTTGCTTCCTGCGCGTGAGAACGGTTGTGCTTGCCATGGAGCAAGCCCACCCCCAGCAATGCTGTACAAGTGGAGCCAGACTGCTGTGCATTTGCATTAAAAAAAAGATGCTATTAAATACTTGCTTGTCAAACCAGCTGTTCTGATGTACAAACGTAGTACACAAAGTAAGAACTTTACTGTGAGCAACAGCTCTCTCTGCTGTCGATAGAGCTACWTTTTCAGTCTATAGAATGAGTGAAAAATTACCTGTGAACGTAAGAGGGCTTAAATCTGTCACTGCAGGGAAACTGCACAACCACCTCGGACTTGTTTATTGGGTCTTCCTTGTCTGGAACATGAAGATATTTGAATAACGATAGAAGAAGTTTCATCACTACTTACTGTGGTTGTATTACTGACATTTACCTCACCAAGTTTCTGCCTTCAACAAAAAGGAACTTTATGATGCAGAAGCCACGTAAATAGTTGTTTTAAAGAAAACATTTCTGTTAATTAAAAGAGGCTAATGAAATGTAAAAAGACAAAAAAAAAAATGTTAACAAAATCATTTGAAGAACAAAATTATTTGCAGGATGTGATTTTCTGAAGTTCGTTCAGAAGCTGGATTAACTGACCTGCCTGAAGCGGAGGAATCCGTATAATATTATAGGCAAGTGAAAAATTCTTTCCAAAGCAATTGCCAATGTTATAAACTGTGCCATCGTTTTCAACGTGGGGATGAGCGGTTGCTCCATTAACMGAGACATATTTACAGAGATCCACCTGAGAGGGAGACACCGAGAATGGTGAGCCGCCCCAGCAGCAGACAGGGT